GTAGTAGTAGTAGTAGTAGTAGTAGTAGTAGTAGTAGTAGTAGTAGTAGATCAATCCTGCGCAGCTCCAAATAGTGTTCCACTCGAGGCTCGAACTTGCAATGGTTTTAGATCAGAATCTAACGCTCTAACCCGTGAGCCGCGAGCTCGCTGTCTTGCCGGTTTAGATCGGTGAACGTTCATCAACGACTATCAACAAGGATTTATTATTAGTGGAAATATACTCCTGTAGACGACAGGATGCCTGAAAACCCCTGGCTTCTCAGTTAGCGGTAGCATAGAATATTCTGCAAAATGTCATGGATTCGGGAGCCGTGCGTTTCCATTCAAGAAAACAGGGTGTTTCCAAAGATTGTAGGAAAAAGTAGCAAAAACTAGTGCCCCTCCTTCTACAAAATTTCGGCAAAATTCTGTCGTGATCGCGCGGATTTTAAGTAATTAACGACTATACTCACCTTCTTCTCGAACGTGGTTATCAGCAAACATAAACATGTACTGTTTCTTGTTCTCCGCCATTCCCGAATAGAGGCTCTTCAGATCCTCGCAGAACTCCGGCATGCCGTAACTCTTGCTGAGACTGATCTCGAAGGGTGAGAGGCCGGCAATGAAGGCAGCCAGTTTGGCCAGCACCTTCTTGCCGGAGCCCGAGACGCCGACTAGCAGGGCGTGACTGCCCTCCAGTCGCAAAATGCGGTGAATAATGCTCAGGTGTGCAAGAGCGTCATTGAACAGGACGAGGTCCATCGTGCCCTCGGTTTCATTGTAAGCCAACAATAACTGCAGGAGGGGGAGAGATATGAAATCTAACACACATGGCTACTCGCTTGTTTTAAGTAATACAACAATATGTGAAAGTATTACTCTTGTAAATAGGTTTATTGGCGATACCGATTGGCAGGAGCCAACAGGTGGGACTGAACGAAAGGAGCAGAACGGGGTAAAAACTCCTTAGGCATTATTCGGAAATTCTAGAAGTCTGGATGCCATTTGAGGGGCTTTAAGGAGAAAAACTGTCGCCCTTGGCAGGATAGTATATTCGAAATAAGACCGGGAGGCTGATGAGAATGCTTGAAGCAAGACAGGGGAAACCCATCGTGGTTATTATCAGTATCCTAAGGGTCACGGAAGGAGGATACTGCAAGGATTAAGACCACGTCACCGAAGTGTCAGAAATGCGCCCACGATACGCCTTCTTGTTCTTCTAGGTTCCTTGTGATAGGGATGACTTCTAGGGTTACCCTAACAGGACATGAGAACAGGAACCACCCGTTATAAGGTGTCTGCGTCACATTCTAGGGTTAGGTTTATGATAAGGATTCTCAGCTTTGGATTGGGTTTAAGAACAGAGTTAAGGCTACCGCTAAGGTAAGTTAGAAGTAGTATTAACTTTAGAGTTAGAGTCTAGGGCAGGGCTAGGATGAAGATAACAGTTTACTGTTTAGGTCTATGCTCGGGTTAGGACACGTGAATATTTAATTTTTCCGGAATTCTGCAAGAATTCCCATTTTACGATGGAAAGTCGTATTGGCCTAATTACACGCCTCCCTGTCCCGAGGACCATATAAACACTGCACATAACTGAACATTTTAATTTTCCATGTCCTTGCACCGGCCTGAAGATGAATGACCGAAAACAATTGTTCGCCAATACGACTTTCCCGGAATTGTGTGCAGGGGCCATCTCAGTGGTCCTTGCCTCCCTAATTTCTACAGTCTTCTTCAAT